GGCGGATGGATGCACAGCCTCCGTGGGGGTGGGGTTTTTTTTTGGGGGGGTGGGGAGGGAGCTGCGTGCACAGCCTTCACGGCGCGGTGCAAGCACGCACGTGCTTTAGTTGGCTCCCGGTTTCTGCTGTCCCTTCCCGGCGTCACCGTGCGACCCGTGCTCCCGTGGGCTGCAGGGATGCTCCTTGCTGCCCGGGAGCAGTGCACCCGGTGGAGCGCGCACGCGTGTGCACGCTGCCTCTGGCGTGGCCGTGCACGTGCTCGCTCTCTGCCACCCGTGTGAGTTGCATGGCCCCGGGTAGGGGATGGCGATGGGAGCCGGTTGCCCTGCGCCAGCTTCTGCCCGTTGCACCAGCTGCGCCCATCGTGTCATGCCAGCGTGCGCCCATCGCGCCGGTGTGCGCTCCTCGCACCGGTGTGCGCCCATCACAACCGCCTGTGCCCACCTCACCCTAGCAGGGTGTGTCCATCAGCCCACGGTGCACCCTTCACACCGGTGTCTGCCCATGGCCCCAGGGTGTGCCCATGACACCACCCCAGGGTGTGCTCGTCACCCCAGCACGTGCACATCGGATCGGATAGTGCCCACGTCACCACCCTGTTCCCATCTCACCAGTGCGTGCCCATCGCACCGTGCTGGTGCATGCCCGTCTCAACTGCACCAGTATGTGCCCATCATACCACACTGGTGCATGCCCATCACACCATTGGCATGACCCTCATACCACACCAGCACATGCTCATCACACCAGTGCGTGCCCTTCGCACCACACCAGTGCATGCCCATGACACCAGTGCATGCCCATCACACCACACTGGTACATGCCCCTCGTGCATCACTGGTGCATGCCCATCACACCAGTGCGTGCCCATCGCACCACACCAGTGCATGCCCGTGACACCAGTGCATGCCCGTGACACCATACTGGTACATGCCCACGACCTCAGTGCATGCCCATCACCCCACACCGGTGCATGCCCATCACACCACACTGGTGCGTGTGCCTAGCGAGGATCGCCCGCAGGAGGGCAGCCACAGCGGGAGGGCTGGGTTAGGCGATGCCCACGAGCCTCCCATGGACACCCCTGGTGCTGACATCTGGCCTCTTTCCTCCCCAGGCCCCCAGGAGCTTTCTGGCTGCAGACACCCAAGCAACGTGACACCATGACTCTGGCTGGTATGGACACCGTCACGCGGCCATGGAGGGAATGCAGGGGACAGCTCAGCTGGGACCACGCGCCTGGCCTACCTCAGCCCAGATCGCTCTCTCCTGCCAAGCCCCATGGCTGCCTCTACCCTAGAGCCCAGGGCCCTTCCCTGAGCCCATCAGGTCCCCATGCAAACTGCCCCAGGCTAACCCCTGCCCTGGGCACCCTAGTGTGGACAGACGTAGGGATATACACATGGCTAATTTACCAGGACAAACATAACCTGGGTGGCCACAAATAAAGCACCCACTCACTGCATGCCTCAGTTTCCCCCTTGGGATAGTGCCTTTGCAAGCCTTGCTCCCCCAGCTTGCATCAGCCCATTTGCAATATTCGGGAAGACCTTGGTGCCCCATCCCAGCCACTCCCCTGCCCCAGGGTGGTCACACGCCCCCAATGCCTGCCAAGATGCCCCTGCACCCCTCGGTGCTGGCTGACCCTCCTCTCCTGTGGTCTCTCCCCAGCTTACAAGGAGAAGATGAAGGAGCTGCCCCTCGTCTCCCTGTTTTGCTCCTGCTTCCTTTCGGACCCCTTGAACAAGCCAGCGTACACGTATGAAGGTAGGAGCGTGTCCCTGGGGTGCACCGACAGTGGGGGCTGCAGAAAGCTCCCATTAGCACAAGTGGGGCTGCCCTCAAACCCGTGACTCTCATTTAATGCAATCAGCTGGGTGCAGGACACCCAGTTGGGGTTGCACAGGGCACCACACCGGTCACCCCTCCACCCTGAGAGCCACCTGGCCGGAGCTCCCCTCCACCGGGGCTCAGCTGCATGCAGTGCTGCGCGTGGGCTCAGTATTTTTAGGCAGGCAGCTGATTCACACTGATTCATGTCAGCAGGCCCAAACATGACAGCGGCCATAGAGGGAGATGCCCAGCATCGCTACTGGCTGCAGGCGGTCTTCGCAGCTGGAAACGGGCCTCAGGCACCACTGCCTGAGTCTCAGGCAGACTCTGTGCCTGAGACTCTGTGCCTCAAAGCCAGGCTGAGTGCTGCCCATGAGGGGTTTTGCTTGCACGTCTTTCCTTGGGGGGACCTGCCAGCCCCTCAGCAAGCCCAAATATTCCCCGCTAGGGACACCTGGCTGAATGAATGGGTGGGATTCACCTGCCCACAGTGGCATGCAAGGTCTCAGGGTGCCCCTGCACCCAAGCCAGCCCTCAGCCTATCCTTGTCTCCCAACAGACACGGTAGACCTCACTTGGTGCGTCATCTCCGACATGGAAGTCATTGAGCTCAACAAGCGCACCTCGGGGCAGTCCTTCGAGGTGATCCTGAAGCCTCCCTCCTTCGATGGCATCCCTGAGTTCAACGCCTCCTTGCCGCGGCGACGTGACCCTTCCCTGGAGGAGATCCAGAAGAAGCTGGAGGCGGCTGAGGAGCGGAGGAAGGTATGGCCCATGGCTTGTGCATGGTGGGGAGGCACGGGGACATGCAATCGCATAGTCGGGGCACCCATTCAGCATGTCCCATCCACCTGCAAAAGCCATGATGTGGAGGAAATAAGTACCCGTTTCATCACAACCAGCATCCCCCATCCTGGTTGCTAGAAGGCATCCCTCTGTGGGATTGAATGCAGGGTGGTGCATGCACGTGGGTCAGCAGCCTGTGAAGTAGCTATCACCCATGGCCATCCTATCTGCTTTGTCCATGCAGTACCAGGAGGCTGAACTCCTTAAGCACCTAGCAGAGAAGCGGGAGCACGAGCGGGAGGTCATGCAGAAGGCCATTGAGGAGAACAACAACTTCATCAAAATGGCCAAAGAGAAGCTGGCGCAAAAGATGGAGTCCAACAAAGAGAACCGTGAGGCCCATTTAGCAGCCATGCTGGAGCGCTTGCAGGAGAAGGTGAGAGCCTGGTGAGGGGTGGAGGGAAGGACAAGGAAGGGGGGTGTGTGCTGGGATAGAGGTCCAAAAAGTCCTACATGGCCTTGGGTGACATTACCTCCCCCCCATCCTCCCCAGGGACACTACCAAAGAGTGCCCCTCTTCCCCTCCAGCTGCATGACGTTACCCAAGCACAACATCCCACTGCGGGGCTACTCAGTCCTCGGGACCCCACCGAGCCTGACATGTCCATATGCTCACGAGCAGCCCCAATGCTACATGGTGGCCAGTGGGTGCATATGCCGCTCTCCAAGGAGAGCTGGGGCCCATATCCTGGCCCCATGTGTGCAAAGCCTTCGCTCTCCTCTGAACAACCCTGTCCCCCTCCATGGTGGACCTGACCTCCTCTTAGTGGTTTTTCCACCTTCTGGGTCACAGATCTTCCACTAGGCTCTTCCCCAGTGGCCATGGACCTCCCAGTTCCCCGGCCGGAGCTGGAGGAGTCCATGATGCCTGTGCTAGGAGATGTTTCCACCCTGCCAACATGTGCAGACCTCTTCTCTCTCCCTGAAGCAGGTCTGTTCCCAACCTCAGCACGGAAGGTCCCACCCTCACCACCTCCAGCTCCCTCCAAAACAGCCCTTCTGCAAGGAGCTCGCTCAGTGCTCTTCTCCAAACGCCTCAGCTAGCCTTGGGTCAGAGACAGAGAGCACAAGATAATGAAGGACAATCCGAGCCAACCCCATCTCCTTGGGGCTCCCATCTTGTCTGGTTGACGTCTACCTCCTAGCTAGAGGGCAAGGACAATCTGTCTGTCTGTCCCTGAGTGCCTCCACAGTCCTTAAAACACCCCGGGGGAGGAGAGGATGATGTTGACCCATCGGTGTCCCTCCCGGGACGAACCTGGCCTGGCGAACGCTCTCGTTCCTGCGAACCCCTCCGAAGCCTCTTGCCCACCAGCGAGGCCCGAAGCCCGGCAACCTAACCCGTCTCCCCCTCCCTTCTCCCTTCCACCTCCCCACAGGACAAACACGCAGAGGAAGTGAGGAAAAACAAGGAGCTAAAAGAAGAGGCTTCCAGGTAAAGAGCCCCATGTGATGGCGGATTGGACTGACAGCTCCGGGGAGGTTGTAGAGGCTGCTTCAGCGCAAGGTCAACTGGTGGAAGGGGATGTTCCTCTGCTTTCTTTGTTTGTGAATGTAAAGAATTGATCAGTGAAGCCATCCTATTCGTTTTGGGGAGGGTGGGGAGGGAGGCGTCACTGGAGGAGGAAGGAGGGGGGTGGGTGGGTGCGTGCCTCTTTGGTGCACCAGCTTTAGGACGTCCGGCTGGAAACCTCTCCGGGGTCTCACGCGCACTTACTCGCACGCCATCCGCGTCTGACAGAGAGGTGTAAACGTGCCCGCCAAGGGCCAGCGAAACAGAGGAGGTGGCCAAGGGGGTCCGGGGACAGAGCGGGTGGGGAGGGAAAGGGGGAAATGTGCGTCATGTGTGACTTTAATTTGGTGGTCCGTGTTGGGCAGACGGGGCAGTGGTCTCTGCAACCGTGGGGCGAGCGTGCGTGCGTGCATGCCTGTGTCCCTCGAGCTTTGTTTCTTTCTCCTCTTCCTTCCCACCCCAGTGGATGTCTGGCCATTGATGTGCAGCAACATCTCTTGGTGTCCCTCCCTCCTTTTCTTTCAGGCCTCTTGCCCAGAGCAGGGATTAGTTGCCCACAGACCTTGCAGCACCATTTTGGGGAAGGGTTTGGGAATAAGGTCATCGGAGAGTGAGAATCACTTACTCCAAAGGCTTTATCCAGTTGTAGGAGATGCTGAGGCTCCTTTTGAAACGGTGAAATCAAAAAGCCCCATGACTTCCCAAAGAGCTACTTTTTGTAAGAAACCTCCTGAGACATCTTCCCAGGAACTCTTGGATGAAATCCCTTTTTTTGCTCTAGAGCAGCTGAAAAGCCTTCTGCTTGCAGAGGCTCAGCTGATTATCTGAAGAGAGAAATCACCCCCGTGGGGAGCTAGAGCAGGAGAGAAAACTAGAGTAGGGCAATGGAAACTGCACTGAAAGGAGCGGGGAAAAGCAGAAGGAAGAGAGCAGCTGAGGGAGCCCAGACTGGAGATCCAAGAGGTGGTGTGGAGACACCTCTCTGGACAGTGCAAGAAGGCAGTGTCCATAAGAAAAGTAGGACTGGGAGCAAGGGAGAGGTGGGCATGGGAGTCCCTGGGGATGGCCATGGCACCTCCTGATGACTCCAGGCCAAGAGGAAGGCCAGCTTGGGACACCACCAAACCCTAATCCTGACTTGTGAATGGCCCAGGAGGTCTTTTGTGGGTCCTGCTGAGCAGACAGTGTGATCCCAGGATGATCTTTGTGTCCAGGGAGGCTGGGGCAAGGGTGAACAAAGCAGAGACATTGCTTGGGATCCCTTCCAGCTGGGAGAGGTGGAGAGTCTGCTTTCTGCCGGGGAGGTGGGGGAACAGCCCCTCCGCTCCCAGTTGCTAGCAGGCAGTGGTCCCAGTACTGCTAGGCGCTGGTACATCATCAGTCCCTAACTCTGATGCTAACTGAGGTCTCGATCTCCACTGCTGCCAGATAAGACTTTTAAAGCACTGATTTAGCGTGGGCAGGTCTGGGGAAAAGAGCATCTCTTGTTCATTGTGCTGCGAAACCCTTGCCCAGACCCGAGGACCCGAGGTGGGGAGCAGCCCCCAGGGCAGGAGGGGCTGCCGGAAGGGGGAGCGTGGAAGAAGGTGATGAGCAAAGAGCGAGGGGGCTGTTCTAGTTGTGGCACGAGCTGTCCTTTTTTTGTATACAACAGTTGTAAATAAACTGCCTTGGCATTTCTTTCGTTTTCTCATGATCTGTGCAGTGTCTTGTGTGTGTTTTTTTTGTGCAGTGGCATCCCAGGGTCTCTTGCCCTGGGTGTGGGATGGTGGGGTGTGGAGGAATGGGGGAAATTAGGGTGGGAGATGGCATGCAGCAGTGAAGCTCTTTTGCTTCAGACCTGGAGCAGTGAGTTTCTGACGAATTTCAGCCATATGCTAGGAGGTGAGGAGAGGAGAGCTGGCTGCCAACGTGAGGAAGCACGGAGGTTGCTGGACACATGCCACAGTCTGCACTGAAGCCAAATGACCCATCAGCCTACCTCCGAGTAGGAGAAAGCAAAATGTCATATCTGTAATGCCAAGAGAGGAGCTGGGGGTTTCTTCTTCTCAAACCCTAAGGGAGAAATGGCACTAACTCCTCTACTATCTTTGCTCAGCCTGAGAGAGGAGATGGCACAAAAATTTACAACCAGCATCTCGGAGGGGCCAATTGTCCATTCATCCTGGGCCCCACGGGGAAGCCTTAGGAGATAGGTGCCTAACCAAGAAGTTGACGGGCGTGGGTTTCGGTGCCAGCATAAAGACAGATCCCAGAAGGGGATCCAGACTTCCCTTTGAACGCAGCAGCTATGTTCAGGAGCTCCTACCACGCTCAGGTACAACAGCAAGGGAGCTGTATTAGAGAACACCAATAAGTCACATGGGTCAGTGTTGAGGAAGGTGCCATGATCATATGAAGTGGTGGGACATGAGTTAGCAAACCCCCTAAAGCTGTGTGGAAGAGCTGGGAAGACCGGAAGAGCCTATTATGCCCAGGAAAGGAAGAAAAGCCACAGGGTCAAGGAGAAAGCAAGATACATAAACCTGGCAATGGGAGTCTTGAGGCTGATCATCATCAGGCTCGGTAGGAGCTGGGTCATCCCGTAACAAACAAAATACTCCTGTCTTCAGTTTATTTTATTTGTATAAACAAGTAAAAATAACAAAAAATACTGCTCTTCCCAAGGGCTCTGTGCTATGTTTTATAACAGCACATGTACCAAGGGACCTCAAGGGAATCAGGAACAGTGACACGATGGAAGGGGACACTCAAGCTGGTTTGAGAAGGAAGAAGACAGGGAGAAACTAAGAGAGCTTCTTCCAAAAGGCTTAAAGAGCACCCAGAAGCTTTGAGGAAGGTATCCAAGAAGCGGAGAGCAGAGCAAGGAGGAGCAGACAGCTCTCCCTGAGGGGAAGCCAGCGGGTATCACTAGGGTAGGAATTTAGGCACAAGGGTAAGAAGATGGTGGTAGGGGCACAGTCAGTTGTATTAATGCCACCAAAAGGCTGCGGATATGAGCTGTGTCCCTCCAGGCAGGCTGGTCAACTCAGATCTTAGTATGGGATGAGCCAGTGTGTGGACACATCTGTCAGAGAGGCTGGGTTGAGTCCCGAGATCTCAGTGCTGGCACTGGGGGCCTCCAGTGCAGGTCTTGTTCTGCAAAGAGCAGATAAAACTTCAGCTCAGTCAAATGTAACGTCAGCAAGGCACAGCACCTTCACGATCATCGTAGTGGGGTCAACACATGTGGAGCTGGCCCATATCCTGATGAACACGATCAATGCTTTAACAAAGTTTCAGGGGCTGATTTTTCTCTCCTTGCTATCAAGGGAGAGATAATGATGGCTGAGGTAAACTGCAATGTGAGCTGTTTCTTCTTCCTGCATCCAGGCTTTGTTCATCACAGCAGTCCACCTTAGATAACCCCTTCCCTACAAGTTTAAATCTTCTCCTCTCCAGCTTTCACTTCTTTCCAGCTTTTCCTGCCTAGTGACTTATAACAGCTAACCCTTAACTTCCCCGTTCTTCTCCCTCCCTGACTCTTGTTCCCCACATCCGGCATATTTATAGACCTGGCCCTCTGGCCATGGACAGCTCACCACAGATTTTTTGATGACCAGCACCCCAGGAGCCCTTCCCTGCATTTCTTCCAGTCTCAGTTCAGATGAGTTATCCAGCCACAGGAGTGGAGACACATCGAGCATGGGCCGGTGGCCTTCGTAAACCTTCTCCATGTGTAGTAGATCCAGTGGGTCCTGATTATAATACAGACAGAAGTATTTGCACTGACCTGACCTGTCAAATGTAAACTGTTCCCATACCTTACTCTGTCTTGCGTAGTTGTGAGCCCCTCAAACAACACCAAGTTGTGTAGTTGCCCTCCCCCACCAAGACATGCACACAAATAGAGATCAGTGACAGTCTGGGCAGAGCCACAAGCTGCTCCAAAGCAGCAGTCCCGCGCGTGCGTGTGTGTGTGTGTGTGTGTGTGTGTACACGGGTGTGCAGAGCTGTCTGGTTAGTGCAGCAAAGTATGGGACCCAGCAGAGTGTCTGCCTTGTGATGGCACTCAAAGTGGTTCTGTCAATACAATTTCCTGCCCCATATCCCTTTATTCAGCACTATAATGGGCTCAGCCAAATTAATGAGGCAGGGGTCAGTCTGAGTGCAAAGGGGAAGAGAGTGGAAGGAGGACCCAGCACAGAGTCAGGAAGCCCATCCTGGCCCAAGGCCAAGGAAAGGATCAAACCTAGTTCTCTTCCTAGCACAGGATGGTCTGCATGGGGTATTTCCCAGCTTGAGTCCTCCCATGACCCTCCTGCGCTGCTGGGGAGGTGATGGTGTTGGAGAGCCGGAGGTCAGGAGTGATGAAACTACATTTAGCCCTAACTACTTAGCCCCAGCTCTCCCGTAGCATCCAGGAGCCAAGCAGGTGATGGTGCCGTAGCTGGCCTCATCCCCATGGACTTTCACGCCGTGCCTGTCTCAAGCCACATCAGGGCCAGCTCCTGGGCAGTCTCAGGAGAGCTGCAGAGGGGAGCTGCAAGCACCCATCACTGCAGCACAGTCCATCTCCTGCATCGCTGCTGCAGCTTGCCAAAAGTGCAGCAGCCAGCAGATGCCTTGACTTTTTGCAGCGCACACTGCAAATCACCTTCCAAGATTGCCAGCCCTGTACAGCAGGGAAGAGGCCGGGACATGCATCCCCACTCCCCCACGCCCTATAAGCTATCAGGCGTGAGGACCCAGGAGTCCGGGCTCCCTGGGGGGAACCCAAGTGTTCAGGGATGAGCTTCATCTCACCCAGCTTCGGTGGCAGAACTCCTCTGGCTAGATTTGGGAATCTGCAAGGGTGGACACAGAGCTGGTGTCAGCCTCGCTGCGGGTAACGTTCCTCATTCATCTGCCCATACACAGGCATGCAAAGCCATTTGAGCCCCACTAAGGTTTCCCATCAAGTTCCCAGCTGCTGCTCCGGAAGGGCTCTGTGTCCCATAGGTCCCATATCACCTTTGCCCACCCCATTTGCCTGTCTCTGATGCCCAGGCAGTCTCAAACAACAGGAGACACTCCACACTCCAGCCTGGAGCCTCCAGCCTGGCTATCTCAAACCAAGTCCGTGCCCACAGAGGAGGCAATGGAGACTAGTTGCCGATGTGGCAGATTCTCCTCCCAAAGCACCATCCACTGGGCAGAGCCAGGACCTCAAGGGGAAAGCACAAAGTAAAGGCCTGGTACCTCCTATGAACATCTCAAGGAGATGTTTCATGGTACATGCCAGACCCTGAGGCAAGAGATCTGGATAGGCCTTCTCCAGTTGATCCCATCTCTCCTGTTTGTAGCCCAATAACTGTACGGGAGTTTTGGAGCAGAGAGGCTCTCAAGGCCAACTGTACCCAGGCAACCACATCAGTAATACCATAGAAGGCCAAGATTGTGTCAGCACCTCAGAGGCACCAGAGACACCAAATTTCTGGTTGCCATCAAAAACACCAAATTTGAATATGGATGAAGCAGAATTGGAATCAAGAGGAAAAACTAGTTAGGAATAGGTTGTTCATTTGGAAGGAGTCTGGGCTGAGAAAGAGAGGTGCAAAAGCAAGAAAAAGGTGGATCCAGAAATAGAAAAAATGGACGATAAGGTATTAAACCAGGTAAAAATAAAGGAGGCTGGGGAATTTGGAGATAGGAGGATGGGTGCCTAGAGGTGGTGGTGACAATGACCTGTAGACCCATCCACCCCAGTTGCTGGAGGGACCCCCTCAGACAACTCTCCAGGCTCTTCATCAGGACTGTGTCCAAAAGACTTGGCATGGGAGAGTAAAGAGGAAGACTTGCACCTTAGGACTAAGAGGTTTGGGGAGGGAAGGTTGGTAAAATTCTAATTTAGTATTAGTTGTATTTGATCCAAGAGTGATACCTTTACTGTTGTGTTTAGCGATGTGCAAAACAAAACTGTAGATTAATAATGATGATGTGATCATTAGTTAGTTATTCAAGTGATTTATTAGTTTCTTAGTAGCGGGTTGCTTAATCAATGAATATCATAGCCTTTCGAATTAGTTATGTCTCAAGCCTGGAATGTAAAGGAGGGGGGTTGGACTCTGGAGTAACAGCATTACCACAGATACAAGCACCGCAAAGCAAGGACATTGTCCATCCCGCCACCAGCATGGTACAAGTGTCTGGATATTCGCTGCAAGTGATGGTATAGTGTCAGTGTAGACCAGCCCGTCCTGGTCCAGGATATCATCAAACACATCTTGGACACATCCAGGAAGACTACCAAGGCAAACCTAGCAAAGGGAAAGATAAATTGTCTTGTTTTATTAGCCAGAGATATTAGTTTTTAGGATGTGTAGAAGGTAATTTTCCTGCTCCATTTGCCAGTGAAAAAGGAAGATATAGGTGAAAGAACATAGTCCAGAACAGAATGAAAGCTACAGAAATTATCAGGGAGCCAACCCAGCACCAAACAGGAGACAATTAGTTCAGAGGAACAGCACTTTGTCTCCAATGTATCTGCCATTCTTGTTCTTTGAACCTTCTTTGAACTCATCTGCTCTCATGAAACAGGAAAGAGGTAATCTACTTAAATATTCATCACCAAACACAAAAAGGGCTGAAGCTAAGTCACAGTCTCCATCTTTAGACCCTGCAAGGAGGCGAAGTCAGGAAAAAAAGGAGGGGATCTTGCT